GCTCTACCGAAACAAAAATGTTGGAGGAGGCTGATTTCTTGAAGATAAAGGATCAGTGCCGCAGTAAGGTAAAAAAAACTGAAGACGGCATACAAGTAAGAAGGCCAAGGACAACAATCGGAAGAGCGGGAGGAACGGTTATTCAAACTGCAGTCATGGCCGATTAATTGGATATTCACCGGACAGGATTTTTTTCAAAACCGGTTATCAAAAGTCTGGTATGAACGCTAAGGGTTTTAGCCGGGTTTTTGAAAAACCGGTTGAAACCGCTAAATGTAAGTCTGGTATGAACAGGGTCTTACATGACTGAAACTCTGGGTCCATTAAGAACTGGTAAAGTCCAGAGTGTATGCATGGATGACAGAACAATGAATAGTGTCATGGTAACCCATCTTCTTCAAAGGGGATGAGCAATGAGGTGTACATTATGGATCACAGTCTATTGTGTGAGAGTACCCCGTGGGAAATGATACAAATGTGACTGATATACCAACATTGTCCTTATATTTTCAGGTTGTCAAGCAACATTACATTTATTTTAATACTAGGCTTTAAAATGAAACCTTTTATTGTGAGTCTTTTGGGGTGAATTCTTTATGTTGTTTTCCTATGTAATATATGGTAAATTCACAATCTTTGAATTCATTCTAAATTGAAACATTAGTACCTAACGTAATAGTGCCAAAAGTAATGCATGAAAGGTAACATCCATGTCCATAATATCACCAGGGTCCATAATATTGCCACCTTGAGAAACAGTGTGCTTAAAGATATTTTTTCTGCAACACACTTTTGGTATGCACTCCTTCACATATCAAATGTACATACCTAGGGTATGTTGCAGTAAAAAATATCTTTAAGCACACTGTTTCTCAAGGTGGTGATATTATGGACCCTGGTGATATTATGGACACAGATGTTAGTACCTAACGTAATAGTGCCAAAACCTATTGCATGAAAGGTAATACTGTGCTTTACTTATCGACTTGGCTTCTAAGCTCGGAGCAAATTCCACCTGAAGTCAAAAAGGAAGTGCGATTTGCTGACAAAAGAATTTCAAAAGCTATTGTTTTTGATGGATAGCTGCTTCTCAGTTCTATTGTATGAGTGGACATGGCTATTGTGTATTCAAACTTGTTCAGTTGGTAATTATGAACCCATATATCACCAAGCTTTGCCAGGTTCAGTTTGAGTACTGTATAAGGACTTTTTAAACCTCTTTGATGTAACATAAACATATTAACACCCTAAGATTAGTTCATCCAACACTAGAAAATATAATTTGATTTAGGCTCAATGGACAAAGGCCCCATGATTTTCGTGTTGTGTATTCATTGCAAAGGGATTATAACTTAATGTTTAAATTGGAGCAACGTGTAAAATAAAGGTAGCCTGGCTTGTACAAAGCCACAGACCTGATAGCGGAATGTAAACACACCAACGTGGGTCTAAGTAGGTTATCTGTCATGGCCGCCATGAAAGCTGTTTTGTCTGTCCTGGTCAAAACTTCCACTTGTCAATGCCATTACTGACAATCAGACGTTCATTTGTCAAGAGAGGTACGCTGGTCACGCTACCAGCAGTTAAAAATGTGCCACTTACTCATTATGGAATAGAAAAATACTTATATAATACTCCTTTCCTACATTTCTTTAAAAACTTATAGTAAAGGCTGTCATTACCTTTACCATTACAGAAAAAAACTTTAAAATCAAAAGTTGTCATACTTTGTTACACTTAGAGAGTTCTAGCCAGCCTGAATTTAACATTTTGGAATGAGGGGATGGACAGAAATATGCTGTATTTGCTCTTTAGAAATACATGTATCTGCCTTTCTAGTTAAATTCTATGTCTTGGATTTTGAGGGACAAATTTTATTGGTAGACTAAGCTTAGTATAAACTATAATGACATTCATTTTTATATTTTTACATGCTGACTTTTGCCTGTCAAAAATGACAGATTGGGCAAAATTTTTGTCTGTCATGAGCAGCAAAATTCTGTCAAATGACAGAAAGATGGACACTGGCCAGGACTCTGCTTTGTA